CTTCCTGCAAGCAAGAACTGGTGGGACCACAAAACAGACAAAGTAATAGAAAATGAAGAAGCTATCGTGCTCTGGGACTCAGGCAAGCATCTGCCACACGACACCTCAGACTTAACAATTGCTGATAAGAAAGACAAAAAAGTCTGGATAGTGGACATTGCAATACCCAGAGACAGCAGAATAGAAGAGAAAAAACTGGAGAAAATCACAAAATATAAAGAACTGCAATTAGAAGTAGAATGACTGTGGCAAAAGAAAACAAAGATAGTACCAATAGTTATAGGTGCCTTAGGTGCAATCCCAAAATATCTGGAGCACCACTTGAAGTCCATCGACATTAACAAAATCACCATCAGTCAGTTGTAAAGGCAGCTTTACTTGGAACAATTTATATCCTGAGACGATACCTTTAACACCATCGAACAACAGCATCTGCCTATCCCAGGTCGTTGGGAAGAACTCGATAGATGGATAAAAATGCCAAATCCAGTCTAAACATCTGGCTGACTGTGCGACCAACCATAATATAGAACCACTAGTCACAGCCATATATTTCCTAGTCTGTAAATAGCTATTCGAAACCAGTTGTAACTTTATATTGAAAGAAAGAAAGAAAGAAAATATCCTAGGGAAATTTATATTTATAAATTTCCCTAGGATATTTTCTTTCTTTCTTTAAATATACCATAGCTTCTTTCTAGAACAGATCTCAGTTTACGCTGCAGTTGATAACATGATTATATCCATGTTTCCTTCTGGTTTACACTGCAAATGAGTGGCACAACTTTCTTGAGGTCCATTGATTTTAATGGGATTAAAACATTACTTAGTCTGTATTGTATTATGGAATTTGTGCATCTGTTTCTTCCTATTGTATATTTACAGTTATTGCAGCTTCCTAGTGTTGATCTGATTTTGCAAATTTGTACTAACTAAATCAGTTGTGATATTTAAAATTGTTCTTAGTTATGGTTGGTTGGGTCATCAAGTATTGATTCTCTTCTGTTGCTGGATGAAAAACAGAGGATTTTGGCTTAACTACTTGTAAGATAAATTTAATTTTTGTGAGTGCTCATGCATATAGTACTGAAATTTGCTTTCTATAGTGAGCTTGAAATTAAAGTGCCAAATGCACTAAGTATTTTGGCAGGTCAAAAATTGAAAGCAAAGAGGCGAACTAGACCCATCAAATGAACTCCAGTCCCTCTCTTTTTATGATCTTCAGTATGGCTACAGCTGCAGTTCTTTGAACAGAACTTGGAAATTTTGAATAATGTGAGGCTGACTTCTGAGTAAAAAGTCTCACTTTTAATGTCACCATATTTTACTGACAGCAGATTTGCCCAAAAGTGAAGTTAATATGGTTAGAATAGTAACAAATGCATTTTGTTTGAAAGACAGGATTGGATCAGGTTGTTCAGTTTAAACCTTCTTTCCAACTTCCCACACAAACATATGTAGTGCATATTGAAGGGACTATGGTAGAAGGAGATGAACTTTGGCACAAAAAGTCTGTTTCATTAATTTTTTTCTACAAAATATTCTGCTCTCAAGAATGTGAAATATTAACATTAAAAGATCTAATAGAAGATTAACAATGAAATGCTAAAAACATTAAATAGGAAATCAGTTCCACTGAACATGTGTTGGCAGCAGGCTTTGGAGAAACTGGCACCTTTGTTTCTGGTGGTAAAATTAGGTAAATTGTTTGAACATGAGAATCATTGCAGGGATTACGTTACTTCCCCACTGGTTGTTTGTTTTAAAAGAAAAAAAACGTAGTTTCAGTTTTAAATTTCCATGTATTTTATTCTCTAGTTGGGCTTACTTCTGAATAAATGTGTTTCAGATTGCACCATAAGAATAGGGTTTGACATTATGAAACAGTGGACAACTTCTACATCCAAAAGTTAAAAAAAAAATCCTAATTGAATCTAATTCTGAGCTAAATTAGAACCAGGTTTTTGGAAGCTAAAGGTGGAATTAAGCAAATATATTTGCAAATAATTTGGAAGTAATACCTGCCGAAACCATTGGATTGGAAAGATATATACATCAGACTAGGGTGTAGACTAAATTGTTGTTTCTACCTGTCCCACAATGCCATCTAATGGGACTTAGGAGACATGCCTTCTTTGTTTCTAATCCTGCCCTTAGAAATGTGTATTATTATCATCAGCCTCAATTATAAGTTGCTTATACATTGTTTTTGCTTTCTTATCTTAGTTTGGTATGGTATTTATTTTCATTTTTCATTTTTGGATTTTGATTGTCTTTTCATTTTTATTGTTCTGCATTGCCCTGAGTCACAAAATGTGAGAGGGCAGTTTATAATTTTTTAAATAAATAAATAAATATTGTGGTCAAGTAGAAGAGTAAGGCCTAGACTCACAAGGATCTTGAACTTTATTTATCACATTTCTAAATTTCATCTAAAACATGTGGACATGTGGGCATATAAGGACATGCAATGTCTACCCACATGATATTATCTTCTTGGGAAGGGCATTATGTCACTAGGTGGAGCTTCAAGACATTCTGGTGCTATACTGACTATCTGGCCTGCAGTCTGAAAGAGGTTTGCAGCATCTGATCTAATTAATTAATTAATTACCACAGTTCTATTACATACAGAGTTTCAGTCCCAAGATATATAAATTTCATGTTTGATTAATAGCAATGAGATTACAATATTTTAAAATATGTATGGGATATTTATCTTGCCCATCTAATTAATACACACACACACACACACACACACACACACACATCACTTGAGGTAACTAGCAACAATTAATACCACTAGAAAATTAAGATAATTTAAAAGAAATATAAAAACAAGAAAAATACACAAAATATTATCTAATAAAAATAAGTAGATAATTTAGTTAAGTAAACGTAGAGGGTGATAATCTGGAATCCTGAAATAGGGAGTTCCACAGTTTAGGTGCAGCCAGTGAGAATACTGTTCCTTTGCTCCCTATCAATTTACTCAAATACATTTGTCGTTCGTTTGTTTGTTTGTTTGTTTGTTCATTCATTCATTCATTCATTCATTCATTCATTCATTCATTCATTCATTCATTCATTCATTCATTGATAGAAACAGTTGCATGCTGCCTATTCTAAGTGACATGCAATAT